TATCTGATAAGGGCTTAATATCCAAAATATGTAAGGAGCTTATACAATCTAATAGCAAAAAACAGCAAAACAAAACAAAACAAAAAACCCCAAGTAAATGACCAAAAAATGGACAAAAGACCTGAATAGACATTTTTCCAAAGAAGATATACAAATGGCCGACAGGTATATGAAAAGAGGCTCAGCATCTAATCATCAGGGAAATGCAAATCAAAACCACAGTGAAATGTCACCTAATACCTGTTAGGATGGATATTATCAAAAAGTCAAAAGATAAGTGTTAGCAAGGATGTGGAGAGAAGAGAGCCCTTGGTGGGAATATAAATTGGTATAGCCATTATGGAAAACAGTATGGAGGCTCCTTGAAAAATTAAAAATAGAACTTCCATGTGATCCAGCAATCCCTCTTCTAGGTATATGAGTATATCTGAAGGAAATGAAATCTTGAAGAGCTTTCCGCACCCCCATTTCATCACTGCATTATTCACAATAGCCAAGACATGGAAACAACCTAAGTGTCCATGAATGGATGAATAAAGAAATTGTGGTATACATATACAACGGAGTATTATCCAGCCATAAAAAAGAAGGAAGTCCTGCCATTTGCAAAAACATGGATGAACTTGGAGGACATTTATGCTAAGTGAAATAAGCCAGGCACCAAAAGACAAATACCACATGATCTCACTTATATGTGGAATCTAAAAAAATCAAACTCATAGAAACAGAGTAGAATGGTGGTTACCAGGGATTAGGAGGAGGAGGAAATGGGGAGATGTTGGTCAAAGGGTACAAATTTTCAATTATAAGATGAATAAGTTCTGGAGACTTAATATACAGCATGGTAACTATAGTTAATAACAATGTATTGTTATGTGTGAGGCTGGCCAGTAAGCCCACACAATAGAACATGGTGCTGATAACGCCAAGGTCAAGGGTTCTGATCCCCCTACCAGCCAGCTACAAAAAAAAAAAAAAAAAGTATTACACACGCACACACACACACAGGTAAAATATGCGAGGTGATGGATATGTTAATAAGTTTGCCCATGGTAATCATTTTACATTGTATATCGACACATCAGGTGTACACCTTAAATATATACAAATTTTGTCAATTATATCTCAGTAAAGCTGGGAGACATAAAGTAATAACAGTGAAAAGCCCTCTCCCTTTTCTCATCACACCCCCTTTCACTCCGTCCCCCCTCCTCACAATTGATTAGTTTTATTAGTTTCACATTGGATCCTTCCAGCGTTCTTTATGCAAGTGCAAGCAAATGTGACTATCTTATTCTTCTCTTTTTTTCCCCCACAAATGCATACCGAACACACTGTTAAGGGTGCTTTGCTTTCTCCAGACAGTGTGTAATAGCAGGAGCTGGCTCTTGTGTGAGGTTTAGTGTGAGCCCTGCACTGTCGTAAGGGCTACACAGATGTTAGCTCAATTGATCCATAGACCAAGTCACAAATCACTGCTATATTTTTTATACCCTTTCTTTTTAACCAGTCAAATTCTATTGTTGACTCACTTGCCAAATGACATTCACATACCTTCCTTTTTAAAAAAAATTTAATCGTGGTAAAATACACGTAACATAAAATTTACCGTTTTAACCGTTTAAAAAATTATACAACTTAGTGGCAGTTATCTATTTCCAGAAAATTTTCATCATCCCCAACAGAAGCTTTGTACCAACCGAATAATAACTCCTCCTCCCCTCGTCCCCCAGCCCTTGGTAACCTCTATTCTACTTTCTGTGTCTATGAATTTGCTAATTCTAAGTACCTCATGTAAGTGGAATCATACAATATTTGTCCTTTTGTGTCTGGCTTATTTCACGTAGCATAATGTTTTCAAGGTTCATCCATGCTGTAGAATGTGTCAGAATTTCATTCCATTTTAAAGCTGAATAATATTCCGTTGTATGTATATATCACATTTGTTTATCCGTTCAACTGTCAACAAATACTTGGATTGTTTCCACCTTTTGGCTATTGTGAACAACGCTGCTATGAACACTGATATTCAAGTATCCATTCGAGTCTCTGCTTTCAGTCCTTTTGGGTATATACCTAGAAGTAGAATTGCCAGCTTATCTGGTAATTCTATGCTTAACTTTTGGAGGAACTGCAAAATTCTTGCCCACAGCAACTGTAGCATTTTACATTTCCAACAGCAATGCATGAGCATTTCAGTCTCTCCGCATCCTCACCAGCACTTGCTGTTTTTAATAGTAGCTATCCTAGAGGATGTAAGCTGATATCTCATTGTGGTTTTGATTTGCATATCCCTAATGATTAGTGAAGTTGAGCATCTTTGAGCACGTGCTTATTGGCTGTTTATATAACTTTTTTGGAGAAATATCTATTCAGGTCCTTTGTCCATTTTTGAATTGGGTTGTTCGGGTTTTTTGCTGTTGTTAAGTTACAGGAGTTCTTCATATGTTTTGGATACTAGACCCTTATCAGATATATGATTTGCAAAGATTTTCTCCCATTCTCCCATTTTCATACTGCATTGCTTTTTTTTCTTTTGCTTGATTATTCATTTATTTATTCATTCATTGTACAAAATAGTGCATGCCTCCTGTATACTCAGAACTGTTGTAGGCGTAGGTGAAAAGTGGCAAATGTTCCTGCATTGCTTTTTAAAGTCATCCTTAAAAGCCATGTTTACAGTGATAATTCAAGATTACACTTGTGCAGTGGACTGAATTATGTCTCCCCCAAACTCCCTGAAGCTTGACTTTTGTCCCCCAAGTTTTATGTATTAGAAAATTAGCCCCCATTGTGACTGTTAAGAGGGTAGGCGATCCCTATTATGGTAATTGAAAGGTGGAACCTTGAAGAGGTGATTGGATTGTAGGACCATGCAGTAGTGAATGGATTAAAAATGGTGGTCAGGGGCATGGTTCTGAGGGTTTTAAAAGAAGAGGAGAGTCTGTCTTTCTCTCTCTCTCTTGCTCTCTGCTTCCACCATCTTGCAATGTGAGACTCCTGGGTCACTGTTGCCACCACCAGATGGACATTGGACTTCCCAGCCTCAGAAACTGTAAGCAATAAATTTCATTTTCATATAAATCACCCAGTTCCAGGTATTTTGTTATAAGCAACACACAGAGACTAAGATGTTATCTAACCCCTCTCTGTCTTTACTTGCCCATCTGTAGAATGGGCAGCAGGCTAGTACTTACTTCATAGCGTTGAGAGGATTAAAAATAAAATGATGCATTGTGGTCAGGTGTCAAAGAATGTCAGTCTTTTCTAAGTCTGTGTTAAATTTCTCTGCCTTCTTTTTTAGCTATCCTATCAGGTAATGTCTGTAACCATCCTGAGCCAGCATCAACTGAGGTGGTTTCAATGCTTCCTGCACCCTGCAGTCACCTGTTTAAAATCTGGATGCCCAGACCCCACCCCCAGTGATTCTGACATGATCAGTCTGGGGTGGGACCTGGGCATCCAGAGATTTAAGAGCTCCTGCTGGGGTGATTCTTCAGAGTGCTGAGAAGTTGGCAAACACAGGAAAATAATGTATTTCAGATGAATGCTTGGGCTCATTGCTTTAAATTGAGGTGTATGTCACCTGAAACAGTGTCTAGAAGTTGAAGAAAAACATATTGAGCATATTATTTGTAAATGTAGCCAACATCCTTTAATAAAATAAGTTTAGCCCACATTTTTTGCCCTTTGAAACACCTGTGATGTGTGGGTTTAGAACCACTGGCTGGATGGTCTTCCTGAAACACAGCTTGGCAGTTCAAATGTCTGTGGCAGAGTTTCTAGTACTTTGAAACTTTGTAGTGAGTTTTGAAAGGTGACTGACACTTTTACAAGGGGTGATTTTGGAGAAAACCAAATCTTATATTTGTGCATATGTATATAAACATAGCATTGCCTCATAGCTTTAAGACAATATATAAATAGTATCATTCTGCACAGTCTTCAGCACCTGGTTTTATTCCCTTAACAGTCTGCCCTTGTGGGCCTGTGTCTGTGCATAAGGAACTTCCTCATTGCTTTTCATCATTGGGTGGTTTCCCAAAGCATAAACACACCATTGTTTATTTAATGTCGAGACTGCAAACTGGTGGGCCATGGGCTAAATTTAACTTTCAGAGATGCTTTTGTGGCCTGGACAGTGATTAAAAACTTCTTACTTAGATGCTAACTTAAAAACATCATAAGATTCCATATAAACATCTGGGTTTTCAGCTTCTTTTGAAAACTCAGGCCCTCTGGCCGTGCAGGGTGAGCTTCTCTGTCATGCCTGAGGGGCTGGTCTGTGGGGCTGTGTAGGGGCCACCCCGATGCTTCAGATCACTACAGCCCCTCCTGGCCCTCCTTCCTCATTTACTTTACCTGCCTTCTCTGGAGGTAAGAGTTTGAGACCCCCGGATGATCAGTTAGGCTGCTTCTTTCTTTTTGTTTTGTTTTTGGTGGCTGGCCAGTACAGGGATCTGAACCCTTGACCTTGGTGTTACAGCACTGCATTCTAACCAACTGAGCTAACCAGCTAGCCCTGGTTAAAGTTGTTTCTGAAGCTTTCTTGTGATATTGCTGTGCTGAGTCTCCTTGTGCTTGTGGGCTGGCCTTGCTCTGGGATTGGACCCTGGGCAAGGAGAATATTGCTTGGTGTTTAGTGTTCCTTCCCCTGCTGTATAAAGACATGCCATTCATTTAACACATATTTACTAAGCACCTACTGTGGGCCAAGTACTGTGGACACAGAGGTGAATAAAATAGACAAGCCTGCAGGAATCAATGCCCCTTGTTCTTTTCTACTGGGAGTGAGACAGAAAAGCAAGTCAACATTTAAAGGGCTTTCTGCTGGGATTCCCAGCCAGCGGGGCCAGTCTCTATAGCTTCTTTCACACAGACAATCCCCACCCCCTGTAGTGACACTCAGAAGACCTGTGGCCTCATGGGAGGTCAGGGCTGGGTGGCCTTGGCCTAGACATGGATCTGTAACTCTTATCCTCTGTGCTCTGTCCCTGTAGGGGATAAGGACCATGCATGGAGTGTCAAAGGTCACCTGTGGAAACTGCTGTCCCCAGCCAGGCTGGCCACCAGAGCCCACCGGAGCACCTGGCTGGAAAGTTACATGCTGCACCTGGAGGAGATGGGTGTGTCGGAGGAGATGCAGGCACGGGCCCTGGTGCTGCAGCTCTGGGCCACACAGGTAGACATGGGTGTATGAGCGGGTACATGCAGGCGTGGGTGTGTGGTTGTGCATATGAATGCACGTGTGTTTGTGTGTTTGTGTGTTAGTGTGCTATCAGGCCCATGCAGACACGTGTCAGTGTGTGTACCAGTGTGTGTGCATGAGAGTGTGCGTGTGCACATATGCATGTGACCGTGCATGTGTGTGCCATTGTGAGCATCGTTCATTCAATATATATATTCTTTGATTTGGAGAAATGTCAAACTTATAGAAAAGTTTTATAAATAGTTTATTGAGCTTCTTTATACACTTCACCTTAATTCCCCGATTTTTAACATTTTACTACATTTGCTTTCTCTACCACCCTCCCCAATGAGATTATTTTACTGAGTCATTTACAAATTAGTTGCAGATGTCGTGCCTCTTTACCCTTAATGACTTTAGTCTTGCTCTCTTAGAGCAAGTACATTTTCTTACATGACCACAGTACAATAACCAAATTCAGGACAATTAAGCCAGATACACAGTCATTATCTAATACACAGTCCATATTCCAGTTTTGCCAGTTGTCCCAGTCATGTCCCTTATGGCTCATCTTGGATCTGCATCCAATCCAGGGTCACACATTGCCATTAGTCATTTTGCCTCTTTAGTTTTCTTTAATCTGGCACAGTTTCTGTGCCTTTCATTGTTTTTCATTATATTCCATTGTTTTTTATGACCTTGACATTTTTTGAATTGTGCAGACCAGTTATTTTGAAGAATCATTAAAAAATTCTGTTGCATACTTACCATAGACATCAAAGATCCTGCTTTGGGTAGCTTACACTTTAGTTAGAGGGTGAGGAAATGTGCAGGGGGCAGGTAGTCCAGGAAACACAGAAGGGTGATTGTAGATGCTCATGTGCAGGGTGTAAAACAGGACTGTGAACAGAGAGATCCTGGGGGACTATAGCTTGGGAGGTCAGGGAGGCTCTCTGAGGAGGAGATGTTTGAGTTGAACCCTGGGTGACAAGAAAGCTAGATCTGGGGACGTGGGGAAGATGTGGGGATAGAGTATTCCAGGAAAGGGAAGCAGCAGGTGCAAAGGCCCTGAGGTTGGATCATGCCAGGTGTTTGAGCAACAACTGCAAGGATCAAGTATGGCTGAAGCAGAGGGAGGGGGACCCAGGGAAGAGGTCATGGAGCGCCTTGTAGGTCCCCATAAGTGAGGACTTGGGATTTTTCTCTGGGTGAGATGGGAGCCCTGGGAGAGTTCTGAGCAGAGGACAAGATCGTGAGGGCAGGGGCAGAAGCAGGCCACCAGTGAGGAGACAGTGGTGGAAGAATCGGGTGGTGGCCACAGAGGTGATGAGGAAGTGGACAGATTTTGGAAACTTTTGGGAAGACAGAGCCAGCAGGTTTGGTAATGGACCAGATTGGGAGTGAGAAGAAGGAAGAGGTCAGCCTTGCTTGCTTCAGGTCTCTAGGCCTGGTTCCTGCTGTCACCCCAACTCCTGAACCCCCCTCTTTCTCTTGGCGTCACTTTGGCAGTGACAGTTGCATAGGCTGACATTTCAGGGTAATTCCTCTCCCATCGATTTACAACTTATTTTTAGTTTTCTCTCAGAGCCATTAGCTGCCCTTGCAGGCAGAGGCTGGCATGGGGTAGGGGCTGGGTTTAATCAGCAGTTGGCCCCCCCATTAGTGCCTAATAACATATTTATGGACAGAGATGGCTTAGAGCTCCAAACTGTCCCCAGAACTCCTTGTGGAAATGACCTCTGTCAGCAGAACTGGATGCTGGCCTGGGGGCTTGTGTGGCAGAAAGTCCAGGGAACAGTCTTTGGCAGGGCCAGGAGAGCTGGGCGGGAGTTGGGACAGGATGTCCTCTGAGGCTGAATTGTTGGCAGCATCTAGGATTCAGGCAGAATGGAAAACCCTTCAAGAGCTCCAGTTTTGAGAGCAGGGCCAAGAGGCTGTGTAACCCAGTGATTTCAGACACAGGTTCTGTGACCTACCTGCCTGGATTTTAATCCTGACTTTGCCACTTCCTGGCAAGTTGGTCACTTAAACCTCTCAGTAGCTCACTTTACCCTTCTGTAAAATGGAAACAGCAGTACCTTCCTCAGGGTGGGGCTTTGAGGAGGAAAGGAAGCAATATATGTACAATTCTGTATCTGTGCCTGACAGATAACAAGTGCTCCGTAAAGTATTCAACAGATATTTATGAGGGCCTACTGTGTGCTGGGTGCCATTCTAGAAGCTGGGATAGAGCAGTGAGCAGAACAGACGATAATCCCTTCCCTTATGGAGCTGACATTCTGATGGCAGAAGACAGACAATGAATAAAGTCAGCATGTAAAATTCGTTAGCGGTAATGAGTTCTATGGAGAACAGATGAAACAGGAAAAAGGAATGGGGGGCGGGAGTGAGGAAAAAGCTGCAGGGCAGTCAGGAGCCATTAGGCTGCCCCTGGTAATGCCAGGACTGACTATTAGATGTTAAGATGCTTGACTCCCTCCCTCCATCGGTGACGCTCCATTCCTTCCCCCATCTGGCTTGGCCTTCAGCCCCATCACTTCTCGACAGACATGGCCCCACAACCCCAGGAGCTCTCGGGTAGGCCTGAGCAGCGGGGGAGCGGCTGTGGGAGCCACAAGGGCACAGCGTCTGCGGACAGCTCAGCCGAGATAATGGTCCAAGCCAAGATAAGATGCTTGACTCCCTCCCTCCATCGGTGACGCTCCATTCCTTCCCCCATCTGGCTTGGCCTTCAGCCCCATCACTTCTGGACAGACATGGCCCCACAACCCCAGGAGCTCTCGGGTGGGCCTGAGCAGCGGGGGAGCGGCTTTGGGAGCCACAAGGGCACAGCGTCTGCGGACAGCTCAGCCGAGATAATGGTCCAAGCCAAGAATCCTCCACATACCAAGACGGGGTGAAAAGCAAAAGCACAGTATTTAGAGTCTGGTAGACTTGGGTGGAGCCTTAGCTCTGCCACTAACTAGTTGTGTGACCTTGAATAAGTCACTTCACTTTTCTGGGCTTCAGTCTCATCATCTCATCATCAAAGAGGATTGGGTTTTTTTGTTTTTTGTTTTTTCCCTTTAGTAGTTTTATTTTCAAGTAATTTTAGATAATAGAAGAGTTCCCAAATACCCTTCACCCAGCTTTCCCTAATTTGCATAACCACAATATATGGATGAAAACTAAAAAATTAGCATTGGTACATTACTATTTACTGAATAAAGTCCATACTTTATTCAGCTTTCCCCAGTTTTTCTGCTAATATCCTTTTTCTCTTCCAGGATCCAATCCAGGATACCACGTTGCACTTAGGGTGTTTGTTTGCTTGTTGTAAATAGACTTTATTTTTAGAACAGTTTTAGGTGGACAGCAAAACTGAACGGAAGGGACAGGGATTTCCCGTGTACCCACTTCCCCTCCCCGCCCACAGCCTCCCCCATGATCAACGTCCCCCACCAGAGTGGGACATTCGTTAGATTTATGAACCTACATTAACACATCATTATCATACTTGGGGTATTTTTTTATTCCCTTAAATTTTTTTTAAACCATAAAATTAAAAGAAATACAATCTGTGACCTCCTATCCCTGTGCTCTCCTTGCTTCTGAGGGCTTCGCCTGTGTGGTGGCAGCACGGCTACCAGCAGCTCCAGGCAACTCAGCAATCCCAATGGAGGGGCGTGAATTTTAGCACAAATCCCAAGCCTGATACTCACTGGCTCAGCCTGGGTCACATGTCCCCTTCTATGTGGATCACTCAGTGGCCCTGCCTGTGTCACATGCCCACACCTGGAGTGTGGAGGGGATGGGTCAGCCCCAGACAATCCACATAGACTTAGGGTGCAGTAGAGGAGAGTGGGGTGCTGTTACTCTGAGACAGGGGAGTGGATGCAGGGTAGGCGAGGGCAGCGGGCACCCCCCTCTGGCACTGACTGGCATGTGGGCAGGAGGCCACAAGGTGGCACATGCGAATCATCAAGCGTGGGGTCTGGCACGCAGTGAGCGCCCCCTGGAGGTTAACCACCACCATTCACAGAAAAGGTAGAACAGGATGGCACTGCAGGGTCATCGGCTTCAGCTGCAGTAGGAGGGAGTGAGCTTAGGCAGGGCATGTCTTCCTGAGGAAACCGAGACAAAGCTCCATGGGAGAAAGCTCAGTTTTCAGGATAGCAAATTCAGAATCTCTAACAGTTGTGACACATGCACACACATATCTGTGCAGTTGGGTGGAAGGTGGTCTTGGTCACCTCCCTAACTTGCCACAGATGGTTCCTGCAAGCAGAGATCGCTGAGCGCCCGTGATTTCCACTCCTGCTTGGTAATTAATAAGTGGTGGTCTGACCATCTGAGCAAGATAACATGGCCTTGGCACTGAGCTAACCCAATACTGAATTATTTATTGCCCACATTCCCCTGGTTATTTAAGTGATGGACAGAAAGTGACCTTGCTGGCTCAGCCAGGCCTCAGGTGCTAGAGAAAATCGCAGAGAGGTTCTGAGGTCCTCAGCCTATTCTCAAATCCAGAGGAGGGGCCAGTGGGAGAGGGGTGGCCACTTCTGAGCACCTGCTCTGTGTCCCGCATATGTGGGGTCACTTGCCTCTGGTCTCAGGGACCCTTGTGGCCACTCTAGGAGTAGGCACTGTCATCCCCATTTTACTGAGGGAGGTTCTGAGATGTGAAGGGGAAGTGACTTGTCCAGAGTCACAGGAAGTGGGGGGCTGGGGTTTGCTCCCAGTTCTGCCTGGTCTCAGTGCAGGCTCTTCCAGCCCACCTCCCAGGTTGTCTCAGAGCCCCACCCCGGCCCAAAGAGATACAGATGTTTATTTGACAGATATTGGTGAGCCCCCCGCTATATGCTGGGCAGTGGGTAGTGACTAGGGAATACCTCGTTTCATTTTCCTTTTCAGTAAAAGACCTGATAATGGCGCCTGCCTGATGGAAGTATTGAGCGAGGGAATGTGGCATTTCCTTGCAGGAGCTGAAGAAAAAGAAAGACAGAAAATTCGCCTCACAGCCATTGATGCTGTTGTGCATTTCTTTCCAATCTTTTTCCATATGTTTTTCTTCTGTGATTAAGATCAGGCAATTGTTTTAATCCAACTCTATTTGATTTAATTTTGTATCATGAGCATTTCTCATGTCATTGCAGATCACTATACAAATTAATCAAAGCCCCTCTGTTCACTTAAAAGTAGTGCATCCATTTAAAAACCTCAAACGCTTTAAAAGGATATGTGCAAGGAAGGTCAGTCTCCCCTTCCCTGTCCTCCCAGCTCCTGTCCCAGAGGGAACCTCAGTTACAGTTTCTTGTCTCCTAGAGATGGTCTGTGCTTTGTCATGTGTATTCCTCTTTAAACAAACACACACTAGCAGCATGCTGAGTCCACATTGTGCAGTTCTCTGCTTTCCTGCTTCAGTGCGTCTTGGCTACAGTCCCATATCAGTACGCACAGAGCCGGCTTCTTTTTAACGACTTCCTATATCATTGTCCTATGGATGGAGCGGCATTTATCTCGTTGATCTCCTATTGATAGACATTGAGGCTGTTTCCAATTTTTTGCTATTATGTCAGCATTGCAACAGATATCCTTGTGCATATGTCCTTTTGCCCATATGCAATTATGTCTGTAATTAAATTACTGGGTAAATGTGATATTTAATGATGATTTTATATTCCATTATTATGATTGGATAAGATTTAATATTCCATTATTATGATTGGAATTTTAATGGTAGACAAAAACTTTTGTCCAAATTGATGGTAGACAAACATCTTTCCCCACTTATGGCAGCCAGAAACCTTGCCCCACATTGAGGTTAGTTGGCATTCTGTCCATGTCTGGATCACTGGAGGATGGCTGCACACACTGTAGCCACATGCTGAAGAGCTGAGACTTAAATGTGTATGAAAATGTTCAGCCCACGCTAAAGCCTTAGAGCAAAAAATCCTGTTTTCCTAACTGTTTATGTACTGGGAAGTTTTAAATAATTTTTGTTCAAGAAATTAACAGCTTTCACAACCATCCGTGATTGTTACTGCTTTGCTTTGTACGTACACAACATTTACACACATACATTCTTCAAGTGACTGATAGAATTTTAACAGACAAAGCATATGAGGAAATTTTGCATCCCAACCTGCGTTGAGAATGATTAACTACATTTGGAAGCAAATCTTTAGATATTTATCAGTTAGCTATTGTTGCATAACAAGTATCCCCCAAAACTCAGTGGTGTGCACCAATCATCATTTCTTTAACTCAGAGGTCTGTGGTCTGGCTGGTCTAACCTGACTCAGCTGGGGCAGCTCAGCTCTGCTCCATGAGTCCCTCATCCTCCTCTGAGACCAGTGTGCTCATTGGGCAAGTGCAAACACACATGGTCTCTTAAGGCCTAGGCTTAGAACCAGCATTCTGTCAATTCCACCTCATTTTATTGGCCAAAGCAAGTTCATGGTTGAGCCCAAATTCAAGGGGGAGGGGAAATACACTCTGCCTTCTTAATAGGAAGAACTGCAAAGTCACATGGCAAGGGGCTTAGATACAGGGAAGGGTGAAGATTGGGGCCAACGATGTAATCATCCTCAGATGGTTACAGAGGTCTTAATTGCCGCACTTTATTCCTTTTACTGATACATTTTTGCTGACTAGTTATGGAGATTACCTGTGTGACCTCAAATCAGTGACTTTGTTCAAGGTCAGGGATGCCAGGAGTGGCCTTGAAGTAGGCAAGGGGCTAGGCCAAAGCTGCAAAGCAGATTTAGGCCATGTCCTGAGGCTGAAGATTGACATTGGTCATGCCCAGATGTCTTATAGGGATGGTAACTCCGGCCTGCTGACCCCTATGCCTTGGCCAGGGCTGTGTCCATGGCATTGACTAGTCAGCTCTGCCTCTTAACACGGGGTCCTTCTCGTTGCAGGGGAATATGGGTCCTGCTGCTTTCTGGCTCCTGCTCTTCCTTCTCAAAAATCCTGAGGCCCTGGCTGCTGTCCGCGGAGAGCTTGAGCCTGTCCTCTGGCAAAGGGATCAGCCTGTCTCACAGATGACCACCCTCCCACAGAAGGTTTTAGACAACACGCCTGTGCTCGGTGAGATGGCCAGACCCTGCAAAATAGCCCCTAAGCCTGGGTCATCATGGACCCCCCAAAGTCCTTGCCAACATGGGCTCCCATTCTCAAGGGTCCATCCGTGTCCTCTGACCTTGGATCTCCCTGAGCCTCCTATTTTCTTAGACCTGGCATCTCCATGCCGAGTTTTGGCTGCTGAAGCTTGTGGTCTCGTTGGAGAGATTTGGTTGCAATGACAAAAAAACCTAATTTAAACTGGCTGATGCGGAAAGGGGACTTTATTTGGAACATGTAAATAAAAAGTCTAGAGCTAATGGCTTCAGGAACAGGTGGATCCAGGTGCTTTCACAATGTCATCAGGACTATTCAGTCTCTTTCCATCTCTCAGCCCCATTTTCCACTGGGTGGCTCCAGTCTCAGGGTGGAGAGATGGCTGCCAGCAGCTCAAGGCTGACTTGCTCTCAGTCAGCTCTGTGAGGTGTGCCTCTCTTAGAACATTCCTACCAAAAGGTCCCAAGAATGTGTCTCATTGGCTCTCTTTGGGTATATGCCTATCCCAAACCAATCAGGGCTCAGAGGGATGCTCTGATTGGGCCAATCCCACCCCAATCCCAGCAGTTGAGAGTAGAATCAACAATCCAGCCCCTGAGAGCAGGAGGGGGTGATCCCCAGAGGAAAATCAGGGGACTGTTTCCAGAAGGGAATGTATGCTGCGCAGGCAGAAACAACTGATATTGGTGGCTCCACTCTCTTGCCAGCCTTTTGATAACTCCCTGTCTTCCAACTTTCTTCACAGCTTCTTTTTGGGTCAGACCTGGATTCCCTCACATTCAAGGGTCTCTGAGGGACCAAAGAGATGACATCTCATCATCTGACCTTTTTCACTTTGCTGTGTGTGGGCAAAGCATGCACCTTCTCTGAGCCTTTTCATCTCCTTTGTAAAACGAGGGCTGGGGGTGGCATTTGAGTGGGTGAGGGGACAGCCTGCTGACCCTTCCTTCCACCCACCCCATACAGACAGTGTGCTGAGTGAGAGCCTCAGGCTCACGGCTGCGCCCTTCATCACCCGCGAGGTTATGGTGGACCTGTCCTTGCCCATGGCAGATGGGCGGGAATTCAGTCTGCGACGTGGGGACCGCCTCCTCCTCTTCCCCTTTCTGAGTCCCCAGAAAGACCCAGAAATCTACACTGACCCAGAGGTAAACGGCAGGGCGCCCGGTTACACAGGACTGTGGGGAAGATCGATGACTTTGGGATCAGCCAGATCTGAGTGGCAGCCCAGCTCAGCTCTTTGCCACCTGTGTGACCTTGCCCAGACGGCTTCACATCTGTTTGTTTCCTCACCTGTGAAATGAACCTCTTAAAGCACCTGCTTCACAGGGTTGTCACAAAGATTAAATGAGATCATCTAGGAAAAGGTCTTCACAGTGCCTGGCACACAGTGCTTTGTTAAGTGATAGCTGAGCCATTTCCTTTTTCCAGAATGTTATAATGTTAGTTTCCCAACATTTTTCCCTCTCCCCAGACTTTGAGATGGGACAGACTTTCACAATTGCTAACAGATTGGGTGCTTTCTGTGTGCCAGGCCCCATGCTACATGCTCATCCATCCACACATCCACACACCCATCCTTCCATTCACTCGTCTATCCATCCATCCATCCATCCATCCATCCATCCATTCACCATCCATCCATCCATTCACTCTTCCATCTGTCTATCCACTGGTCCATTCACCTGTCCACTCATCTTACACTCAGCACCAACTCCATGCCAAGCCTTATGCAATCCTCGACTTACCACTATATAGTGTAACCAAAGAAAATTGGCATTCTCTTTTTCGAAAAGTAATTTTAATTTCTTTTATTGTAGATTGTAATATATACTTTTAAAATAGAAATATAGAGAAATACATATTTAAAAGTAAAAAAAAAAAATTATTCCGTTCCTCTGCAGTTCCAGAATTTCCTAACCATGGTTTGGAGTGTGTCCTTTAAATTTTTTTTATGCCTTTACAGACATACACAAAGCACACTCACACACACGTGAATAGATTGGTCTGTGTAATAGGATCTTATAATACATACTATTCTGAAACTCACTTTTTTCACCCAACAACCCTTCACAGAAATTCTGTCCATGTCATTACACACAAACTTTTTGCCATAATTTTCTAATCAATTCCCTATCAATTGACCTTTACATTGTTTCCAGTTTTTCTTTCTTATAAGCAAAACTGTAACAAACATTCTTACACATTTTTCGTGGTGCAGACTTGTTTGGGGGGTGGTCAGAAATGGACTTTCTTCTATTTAAGGTGTTTAAATACAACCGATTCCTGAACCCGGACGGATCAGAGAAGAAAGACTTTTACAAGGACGGAAAACGGCTGAAAAATTACAACATGCCTTGGGGCGCGGGACACAATCAGTGCCTGGGGAGGGCTTACGCCATCAACAGCATCAAACAGTGAGTGGGGGTGGGGTGGGGGGTTGGGGGGCGGTGTGGGGCTCAGGTTGGCGCATGCCCCTCTCTCCTGAGACTGATGGGCTCAGCCGGTGGGGAATGGGTTAGGGCAAAGGCTCTAAATGGACAGCCCGTGAGCCATCTCCTGCCCACAAATCTATTTATTTTTTAATGTGTGCTAACTTTTAGAAATCAGAAGAGCTCAGGTACTAACCCAGATCTGTGATTCCTTTTGAGATAATCCGATCTGGCAGCAGGTTCTTTCCTCCAAGACTGGTGTGTGAATACCGAACACTGGACATTCTGTTCAGCTGACCATAGCTGGCTGTCTGCAGCTGCCACAGCTAGTTTAGAACCTCGTGGCAGGAACTGGACGAACGTCATTGTTCCTGCTTGGTTATTTTAATGCCTGTGGGGGCTGAGAGCCTTATAAAATTCTCTTCCCTTGACCCCAAGAGCCTTGGTCTCAGGATCACAAACAGATTGGATCAGGGGTTCTGACATCTGCCTGTCCTTCTGTCCAGTCCCAGTATAATCATAAACCGGGTGACCTTCTGAGCCTCTATTTCCTCAATTGTAAAATGGGGGCACTGATTACAACCACATCCCAGAGGTGTCAGGAAAAATGAATTTGAATTTTCTAAGTACGTAACCCACTGCCTGGCTTATTGTAGGCATTTGATAGATGTTGTTTATTATCATAATTGTTAATATTATTGCTAATGTGCAGGCATTATGCTTAGTAAATGGGCACATTATGCTAATCTTTTGGCCTCAGTTTTCTCAACGGTAAAATGGAGATCATAATACAGTCAGTTCCGCCCTAACACTTCCTGTGCATTCCTAAAAATCACCTTGCTGTGTGACATCATTCAATAGAAACCACAGCGATTATGAGCAAAAGGGGTTGGTGGTCCAGTACTTGAAAACCTCATCAGTGACACATTAAAAAATATATATAACAGCCCAGTAAAAAATGGTAGTGTGTGGGCCGGCCCGGTGGCGCACTGCTACAGTGCGCCGCTTGGGAAGCGCGGCAGCGCTCCCGCCGAGGGTTCGGATCCCACGTGCAGACCGGCGGCTCACTGGCTGAGCGAGGAGCGGTGGCAACACCGAGGGTTGCGATCCCATTGCCGGTCCCGGTCTGGTACGGGCGCGACACTGAGGGTTGCGATCCGTTGCCGGTCACGAAAAAAGACAAAAAGACAAAAAAAAAAAATGGTAGTGTGTTTTACACATGTTAAATGTTTAAGAAATATATGCTACAACAAATATGGCTGTAGATGGATGTGTGCAATTTGTGGATTTCTGCACAGCTAGGTTCAGCTGGGTGCAAGTTTTGTGTTTATCTCGTGTTTCTCACAAATGAAACTGCACATGAGCAAATGCAAAATTCATGTTATGCTCAAATCATGCCCTAATATATCGATTATGTTGGAACAAATTCACCTGCTCAAAACAAGTGATATAGCAGAACTGACTGTAGTTCCTGCCTCATCAAGTTTTTGGACAGAGAAAAAGAGAAAATGGATACCAAATGCTTAGCAGAGCATCTAGCACACAGTGTTTCAATAAAATAGCTAATTTGTTGTTGTTGTTTTAATCTCACTTAATCATCATGACAACCCTGCTAGGTAGGCATCAGTCTAAAACTGAGTCTAGTCAGATCAAATAATTCGTCATGGTCATGCACCATGGTGCCAGGACTCAAATCCAACACTGGGCACAAAACTCCCATGCTATATATATAAACTCACCCTCTAGTAGCTTATGGCTTCAGAGCTGGAAGGGACCTCTTACCTTCCGCCTCTGTGACCAGCTGGGGGAACTGGGACTCTGATTGGAAAGAAAGTAGGTGAGAGCCATACCCGTAAGTGGCATAGCCCAGATCTCCTGTCCAGAGTGTTAACTTTCTTCTGTCCTTATCTTCCCCCTTCACTCTTTCAGTAAGATTAAAGAATCCCTGCTGTATGCTCAGTCCTGCATTAGGCACTGGGTCAGGGTAGTGGATAGTGGTGGGACACAGTAGTAAAAAACACACTCTTGACCTTTAGGAACACAGCCAGTGTAAGTAAGCTTAGGCAGGAACTGGTTAACATCCATAGGGCTAGCACCACGTTTGTGGGGGCACTGATTACATCATAGATATGGAAGCTTTGTATACTCATTATGATAGTTTTCCAGAAGGTGGCAGTAGAGAGTACTTGTTCGTGCAAAATGGGTATATTATGGCAGTTTTCCCACAAATGGCAGTAAAATGTCTTGAGTCGTGCCTGTTTCTAATCTCACAAAGACACCAGTGGGTTAGCAGCAGCCCTGGCCAGGACAGAGAGTAAGGGCTCCAGGAGTTTGGGGAAAGGGGCGATGAGTGTGGGCAGGAGGAGGCAGAAGAGTCACTATCTGCATAAGCTTGGCTGTGCTACTGTAAGAAGCCACTGCGGTGGCGGGCTTGGGGGACTTCTCCCCTCTATGCAGGGCCTCAGGGGCCAGGCTCTTTGCATCTTCCAGCCCCACCATCTCGACATGAAGCCTTCACAGTTGCCAGGCAGAAGGGAAAGCGGGAGAGTCGCACACTGGCTCTTAAATGCTTTGATGTGGAAGTGACACATGCCACCTCCGCTCACAGCCCATTAGCCAGAACTCATCAGGGGCTGCCTCACCTTGCAAGGGGGGATGGCAGATGTGGAGGAGCTCATGGACTTTGGGTGAGAAGCAAATGCCTTTGCTGTGCTCTCGCTCCCCTCCCTTTCCCACATTTCACACAGTGAGAGCGGGAGTCAGACTCAGGAGGAGCAGTTGCTTTCCTGTCCCATCCCAGATGAGCCCCCTCCCTCCACCTCTTCTCCGCACTTTCATGGCCATCTCTCTGTAGGTTTGTGTTCCTGGTGCTGGCGCACCTTGACCTGGAGCTGATCAGCATGGGCGCGGAGATCCCCGAGTTTGACCTCAGCAGGTACGGCTTCGGGTTGATGCAGCCCGAGCACGACGTGCCCGTCCGGTACCGCGTCCGCCCATGAGCCGCCTGGCCTCTGCCCACTCGCCTCCAACCAGCCTCCCCCACCTCCCAGCTACCTGTGTCCAATTTGGCCTGGATACAGGTGCCAGCGTTACCTCTTTCCTGCTTTGCTCCCAGAAGGCTGTGTCCAGGCTAGGGAAAGAGGGCAAGCCGAGAGAGGGTGGATCAAGAAAAGACATCAGAAGCTCTATGGAGCTTGACCACAGCCAAACTTATTTCCAAAATCAGGCTCTTTCTGCTCCCAGCTCACCTTGCTCCTCTCACCTTGTGACAGCCACAATAGCTAACACAGGGCAGAACAAGGGGCCTCACTGCTGTGTCTTCAGCTCCCAGAAGGGCCACCTGCTAAGTCTTATGCAACTGGTGTGGTCCAGGCCTTGCCCAGGCAAAGCAGACACTAGCCATAGAAAGGCCAGTCTGGACCTAGCAGTGTGTCCACTGGAATAGCTCTATTGCCCGGTGATTATTAAACTAGCTAAGGCCAAAGGAGTCCCTTAGAGTATCTGCTTCCCCGGGTGCCCCATTTGCTGGACACTCCCTCATCTCCATTCACACTGATACTCAAGAAAATGCAGGCAGGTTTTCCCGAGGCTGGTGCATCCACGGTGCAGAACGTGGGTGCCCTCTAAACACAGGCCTCTCAGGATAGAGTTCTCTTTTCTGGAATTATGGGCACCAGATGGGATGGGTTTCCCAGTGCCGAGACTCAGGTAGGGAACTAAGGAAAACAAGCCAAGATGGGATGGCTGGAAGGAACCAGTCAGGGCTCCTTAGACTGGTCAGGCCAAAAAGAAGAGGTGTTGATCTCAGACAGTCAGTGTGGAAGCTCCAGCTGTACACATGAGCCAGTCTCCAGATGGGTTTGTTTGGCCTACACTTAAAAAAAATTATTTTAGTTGTTATATCATTTTTGGGGAGTGTTCATTCAAAATGTCCAGCTTGTCTTGAAAACTTGGGAGACCTAGCCACATGAGGCCCACATTCCCAAGGAGCTGAAGAGCAGCTGCCTCCCTTATGTGGGGTCTGTGCTCTCTCGTTCACCAGGGCTTTGCCTGGCCTGCTCCCCCATTCACAGAACCTCCTGGCCCTGAAGGCACTTGGGTTTGAGACCCTGTTCCAGCTCTTAGAAGTGATATTGTGGGAAGTGGTGGGAACCAGCTGATTGGTCTTCACACTGGTTGTCCATCCCAGCCTGGGTGCCCCACCCTTTGAACGCACAGATCAGTAATGAAAACTCACTTTGCCTCAGCTTTAGAAAAAGAACAACTTAAAGAGAAAAATTGCCTGCAAACCTTTATGATGATGGTAAATGTTGTTATTAATATTAGGTGCTGTTTATTGAGTACCCTTTGAATGCCTGTGACAGGCACAGGAGACATAGAATTTCTACTCCTCACAGCATTTCTGTTATGAGGTTATGTCCACTTTACAGATGAGAAAACAGGCTCAGAGAAGTGAAGTGACTTGCCTGGGGTCACACAGCTCGTGAGCTGGTAGAAATCGGCAAACAGAACTATTGTCCCAGGAGCAAACACTGGGTGGGCAGCTTTTCATTACTTGGAGTCAAGGTGGGGAAGTTCTGTTTGGCATCGGAGAGCTGACAGAACCAGAGGCACCCAAGCGTGGATTGGATGCATCTCATGAGACACAAACTCACATAGACACACATCACTAGGTTTCTCTGGCTTTAGCTGGAGGGAGAGAAGAGTACCTGAGACCTCTGAAATGTTCCAGGGGCTAGTCCCCTCTCGGAGCAGCGCTAGAGCTTGGGGGCTTCCCTGACCTGCAGCCTCCAGGCACCCCCGGGATTTCCAGATAGACAGTGTGATTGGCAGGAGGTGGGATATCCCCAGGGAAACCCATCTTCACGCCTGGGTGACCCTGCTGCCGCCTGCTTCTTAACTCTGCAGGAAATCAGAGCTGGCAGCCTCCTGTGGGAGGACAGAGCCAGTTTCCATGGCAACCCTCAGCTGTCTCATCCTGGCTTGGAAGGGAAGGAAGAAAGCCAGCAGAAATAGCTGTGGAAGGTCTCTCCTTGCAGGCTGCAACTCTGGTGTGCTGGGGGCGGGGAAGCCCTTATGACTTTCCCCTTCCAAATCTGGGCTGGTTGTCACTGGGACTAGAGTCTCACCAGCCTTCAAAGAAGGGCCAGTTCCCTTTAAAGATGGCACCTCCTTGGAGGCATGATCATTAGAGAATTACGCGAGGAAAAGACGGGTCTCCCACCAGTCAGCTCCAGCTGGGTCCTGAGATACTGAAGAGCAGCTCGGGAGACAAAGATTTAAACCTGCTCTTGCTTTAATCTTTATTATTTTTCTTTTCCTTTTTTTCTCCCCTCTTTTTTTTTTTAATATAAACTATAGAGAAAAGAGGGAGAGATGAGTAGCTGCTTACTACAGGTTAGTTAGGAAGGTATCTGGATGTCGTTGTATTTCTTTATATCTTGCTTGAGAATGACAAGATTGTGGGGCACATGTTAGAAATACCCTTAGGTGGCCCCAATGAAGTGTTTCCTCACCACTGTCATTGTCATTATTTTCTGCTGTATTTTGTATTGTCATTTACCAAATATTTGCATTTAAATAGACTCACTTTTTAAACTTAAAATAAATTTGTTTAAAAAGGGAATGTTTTTCTTCACTGCTGGTAATGGACAACACGTTTCACTCACTGCCAAAAATAGAAGATGACTGTGAAAAATAAATTCGCTGGCATGGGGGCTCCATGCTGGTGTCGCCAGGCTCAGAGCCTGAGTGCTATCTCTGCTCTGTCACAAAATGAAAGAAGTGAGCATACCATAGCTTTAAGGCCACACCAGCATCTCCCTGAGGCTTTCTCCTTGACAGAACCACGGGGGAAGAAAGTGACAGAAAGAGAAGTCACTTACTCAGCACATGGGCCACCTAGGGCCATCTCTTGCCACCAGCAGACTCACCACAGGGAACTGGTGGTGTCTTCCCTGCCCATTCTCCAGATGCACAAACAGGCTCTGAGAGTTGATGTGTCTTCCCCAAAGTCATTGATCCTGATATTTTTAAAAAATAAACACAGTGTTTCATGAGTAGCAGTGATTGTTATGCTTTGCTATTTTAATAAAGAGTTCTATTTTCATGTAACATTGGCAAGTGCAAACATGTTGAATTCTATTAAACCATCCTTGTTTGTGGCGCTGCCTCCAAGTGTGACTCCGACCGAGGCAGTCAGCAGTGTCTGGAACAGCAAGGCCACTCCTGGGAAGGGAACGCAGGGCACTTACTCTGGGCCAGGGCCTCTCAGAGACAGAATCAAGTCACATCTCCAGCCACCCTCCGAGGCATATATTATTATCTTCATTTTTACAGAGGGTCTGTAAACTGAGGGTCACAGAGGTAAAGCGGCTTGCCCAAGGTCACATGCTGATAGGTAGTAGACTCTGGCCTCAAATGCAGGCCTCTCTGCTGCCTGAGACTTTGTTCAGGATCTTTCCATCAACAATTCTCCTGGTGACAACAGAAGGATCAGATACCTACAGAGGACCTTGTAATGGAGGGTCACCTTGCAGACAAGCAGAAAAGATCTCTTAAAAATTCACTGGACGTTCTCCATCTTTCATTGGAATGCATGTATTTGTTTTCATATTTTTTTTTTAAAAGGGTAAAATGGATTAAATTGGCTTTGGGAGAAAAAAAAAGGACAATTGTTTTTTCTCTCAAATTGGTGAGTAAAAATAATGTCCCAGGGCAAATGTCCCTCACATCAGTTTCCCCATCTGTGAGGGGGTCATGGAGGCACATCTGGTGGGATTGGATTTGGCTTTGAGTGACAGACTTCTCTGAATAATCCAGCAACATTTTATATATTAAATGTTTACATTTGAAACAGCAGATATTTCTCTCTCTCTAATGCTGTTATAGGAGACCAGAGATGGTGTGGCAGATGGTGTGGCTTCTCGAAAATCACTAGGCCCCTCCTTTCTGGTCCTGTAGCATCTGTAAACAGTGGTTTCCACCTCAAGGGCCAGTATGGCTACTTGAGCTCCAGCCATTTTGTCTACATTCCAGCCAGCAGGAAGGAGATAGGCACAGAGAAGAGAAAAATCTCCTTCTGCTTCCATCCCATTGGTCAGAACTTAGTCACACGATTCCTCTTGCTGCACAGGAGGCTGGGAAATGTAGTCTTTCTGTCTAGGATATCCATATGTGCCCCCAGAGGGGCATTACACCCCAGTTTGAAAAGTGCTGCATTATAATCTCCTGTCTATCAGTCATTTTCTTAGCCACATGGCAGGGCCAGAGGGACAGGGTTTGGCTTCCCTGAGCCACTGACTTTATATCCTGGGTCCTAGAGGTCTGCAGCTCCAAGACTTTGGCCTTCTATATCCTGAACCATTAAAGTTAACAGCATTTTATTTTGCCAGGTAAGAACATTAAGAAATCATTTGTCATTTACTTCCACTGTCAGTCTATAAAAGGACATTTTAATACCCCTAAAGCAGAAAGGTAGGTTCCATATCATAATTAACACAACCACTCACTCAAAAGTTGATATTGAATAGCCCCAAAGTGAAAATAACCTAAATGTCCATCAACTGGTGAATGGATAAACAAAATGTGGTGTATCCATATAATGGAATAATACTTGTCAATAAAAAGGAATGAAATAAGGCACAGGCTATGACATGAATGAAACTTAAAAACATTATGCTTAGTGAAAGAAGCCAGCTGCAAAAGATCACATATGGTATGACTCCATTTATAGGGAATGTCCAGATAGGTAAGTTTATAGTGACAGAAAATAGGTTAGTAGTCACCAGTGGGGGAGTGGGGGTTGGGGGTAGAGGGGTCAGGGGAGTGGGATAGGGAGAAATAGGGAGTTACTGCTAATGAAATCTAAAATTCATTGTGGTGATGGTTGCACAACTCTGTAAATATACTGAAAACCACTGAACTGTACACTTTAAGTGGGTAAGTTTTATGATATGTAAATTATATTGCAATAAAGCTGGTACGTGTATTTTTATGAGTAAATATTTTGAGCACCTCCTATGAGCCAGGCACTTTTCTAGGCAATGGGGACCTGGCAATGAGTACATCAGACCCCCCACCCCCAATATCCTTGTCTTCGTGAGCTGACATTCTCATGGGGGAGACAGTAATAAACTAGGTAAATAAGTGAAATATAAAGTATGTTAGATGGTGATAAGTGCTTTAGAGAAGAATAAAGGAGGAAGGAGATGGGGATGTGCAATTTTAAATATGATGGGCAGGGAAGGCCGCCCTGAGGAGACCTTCAAACAGAGACTCAAAGGAAATGAGAGGAGCAAACCATTTGAGTATCTGACGGAAGAATGTTCCAGAAATATGCAACATCAAATGCAAAGATGGAAATCTCCCTGGCAAGTTTCAGGAACAGGGAGGAGGCCAGTGTCGCCAGAGCCGTGAAAGGTTCTGAGTGGAGGAGGGACATGGTCTGACTCAGATTCTAGCAGGATTTCCCTCACTTTGTGTGTGTGTGTGTGTGGAGAATGGGCTCTAGAGGGGTGGTGTGGATTGAATGTGTCCCCCAAAGTTTCATGTATTAGACACTTAATCCTCACTTGACAGTGTTAAGAGTGTGGGAAATCCTGTTACTGTAATTGAAGGATGGGGCCTTTAAGAGATGATTAGATTGTAAGGATTGTACTCATGAATGGATGGATCCATTCATGGAGTAATGGGCATGGTTCTGATGGCTTTAAAAGGAGAGCAAATGAGAAGCTTAGTGCTCTCTCTCTCTTGCTCATGCCATTTGCCATGTGACACCCTGTGTGACTGTAGAGCTACCACCAAGAACAAGGCCCTCACCAGATGTGTTCCCTGGACTTTGGACTTCCCAGCCTCCAAAACTGTAAGCAATAAATACTGTTTCTTTACAAATTACTCAGTTTCAGGTATTTCTATTGTAAGCAACAGAAACAGACTAATATGGGGGGGGGCAGGGAGGCCACAACCATCCAGGCAAGGTCTCTGCCCTCATAGAGCTCACATCTGGCTGAAGAGACAATGCAACAGATGCAAATCAACACACGTGCAGTATCAGGTACTGAAAGGACTATAAAGATGAGTAACAAGCCCTATGTGATGTGATGTTCACTCAGAGGTGGAGATGCCCATGGCCTTGGAGATAGGCAGGGAAGGTATCCAGGCAGGTGGCGATGTTAGCTGAGGTTGAAAAGAGAAGTAGCTGGCTTTGCAAAGAACTAGGGGAAGAACATCCCAGGCAAAAGAGAGCACATGCAAAGACCCTAAACAGGCAAGGAGCTTGGTGTGTTTGAGAAGCAGTGAGCACCCAAGTGAGGCTGAGGCTGGGCGAGGGGTACAGGAGGTCTTGGGGAGCAGGCCTCGTCAGCCATGGTGAGGAGGCTGGGCTTTGCGCTAAGTACCCTGGGAAGCCACTAGGGTGGGTGATGGGCAGGGGCTGCACAGCCTGTCTAGGAGGGCCCCCTAGCAAGCCCTGCTTTAGATAGTCCAGCACTATCCTTGGACGGTGGAGTGCTTGTCAGGTATTGTCCTCAGGAAGGCTCTGAGGCCACTGCAGAAACCAAGACTTCAGACAGCCTTTTACATCCCAAAGGTAAAAAATCAGACCAGCTACTCCCTTGCCTAAAATGCTTCAATGACATAAAATCCAAACACCGCCCCAGATCCTTCACCTTGCAATCTTCCATCTCTTTCAACCCTCTCTTCGGCCCCAGGACCTTTGTACCTCTTCTGCCTTCTACCTTTAGCTTGGAATGCTCTTCCCCATGCTCTCCCTTGCTTGCTGATTCTTTATGATTTATGAGTCACTTTCATCATCACCATCCCAGGGAGTTCTTGAGCTGAAGACATTGCCTCCTCCTGTCCAGTATTACTACTCTCCTATGTGCTTATTTCCTTCACAGCGATGATCAATATTAGCTTATTTTTAATGTCTCTGTTTATGTCTCCTGTTTGAATGTGAGATTCAGGAGGGCAGGTTAGCCTCGCCACTGCTGCATTCCCAACTGGCAACACAAGTTTGGCACCTAGCAGGTGCTCAGGAAATGTGTGCTAAATGAATGAATGGCCTTTGCCTCATCTTGGGAGCTTGTCCTTTATCATAAAGCAATGAAAAGTCATGAAGGATTATAAACAAAGGAGTGACATGGTCAGACTTGAGCCTTTAAAAGCTGGATTTGAGGAGGGATAAAACTGGGGGAGAGAGATCAGAGAGGAGGCAGATGAGATCAGGAAGAGGTGAACAAGGGTAGCGGAGAGGAGGTAGAGAGACATTAGTCCCCAAAGGCAGGAGAGCTGCATTTTAATGAAATATTGTCTTAGGAGGATCAGTTAATCAGCTCTTGATCTTTGTGGCTTTGATTTCCTTCTTCTGCTGACTTGATCCTTTTCCATGGCATCTTGGAGTTCCCAGGCTCCTCCGTGTGAAGAGATGTTAGTTTACCCCTAATTGCTCTGCTGGAAGCTTGTGCCTCAGCCCATCCCTGGTCTGCAAGTCATCACTGTTTGGCCACAGACCCTGAGAGTCAATGGCTTTGAAAGTTCTGGCCACAAAGAGGTTCACTGGCCTACATGCAGGTTTATCTCTGAGGGGCCCCTCTGATGACACCCACATTTCCTCCAGCGAGGGAGTCCAAGAGACCATGTCAGGGCTTAGCCCACAGCATTACTCCACATGTTAGGCAGTGGATGGGTGGGGTGGCTGGAGATGGATGGATGGATAGATAAGTGGATGATTAAGTAGGTGGGTAGGTGATTGGATATATGGGCAGATGGATGGGCAGGTGAACGGGCAGATAGATGGACAGGTGGAAAGACAGATGATATATAAATGGGTGGATGGATGGATAAATGGACAGGTGGGTGGATGAATGGGTGGAAAGATGGATAGTGGATGGAATGTGTGAATGAATGGACAGATGGATGAGTGAACGGGTGAGTTCATGGATGGATGGGTTAGTGGGTAGACGGGTGGGTGGGTGTGTAGTTGGATAGTTTGGTGGTTGAGCATATGGATGGATGAGGGAATAGTTAGGTCGATGGATAGGTGACAGGCAAAAGAATGGATAGGGAAATGGATAAATGTTGGGATTGGTCAGAAAACCAGACTTACCCATTTC